TAATGTTTCAGTGGAAACAAATACTTATTTCAAACCATGTCATTTCTTTATGATAAGGTGTGGCTGTACACTCAGCCAACACAGCCACTACTGAGATTCCACCATGCTCTGAACCTCCTGGAAGTACATCCTAAAGTGTGGATCTCTTCAGACATTTGATCTGCCTCAAGTTCTAGGCAACCTTAAGCCAATAGCCACTTTTTTTTTTTTTTTCTGTTTTTCGAGACAGGGTTTCTCTGTGGCTTTGGAACTAACTCTTGTAGACGAGGCTGGTCTTGAACTCACATAAATCCTCCTGCCTCTGTCTCCCCAGTGCTGGGATTAAAGGTGTGAGCCACCACTGCCTGGCCTCCAATAGCCACTTTAAACATGGGAATATTGGTTAGGGCAGACATGAAGTAGTTCCCAAAGAATAGACTTAGAACCTAGCCCCAGGTATGTTTCACAAGTGGTCTTAATAAGGGTGACAAATGCTTTCTCTTTGTTTTCTTCCCTGGACAATCTTCAGTACATTGAAGCTCAGGAAGACTGTAGGGATAAAGAAACATTCAGTTGTTTAATTTGGCATTCCCTAGGCTCCACAGCCCTTTTATACTCTGCTTTGGAGCAAGGCGACTAACAAATATCACTTAATTGTCATTTATTCTTTTGCCATCTTCCTCTGGTCACATAAAATATGGTGGTCCTCCTACACCAGTGTTCTGAGTATGTTAGTGTAGGCCCCTTAGGGAAATGAGGATTTCAGTTAAGGACCTAGCAAATCACTCAGGTAAGCCAGGATGTCACAACCCTGCTGTGCCAAGTTACATCAAAGTATTCTGAATAGTTTAGGAGTTCTCAGACCCTTGGGAATCTCTCAGACCTTCCTCTGGCACCCATAGTGAGAGCAAGATAGCAAGTCTAGGGTGCTGGCCTCAGGACTGTGGTGTGGTGACAATGCACCACACTCATGAGTGTGGACTGCTAGAACTAGTTCCTGGCAGGCAGAGAGTTTTATATGCATTGATAATCCCTGGCCCGAGGACATTGCTTAATGGTTCATGTTGCTTTCATTACCATTAAATAACTATTATGATGCAGTATTGATCTTTTCTAACTTTTTCTTAATAAATGGCCAAGAAAGAAGCTCAAGCCTGCATGACTGCAAATGTAGGCACCCTTCCTGCCTCTGCCTCTCTCCTGCATTATCTGCATTCGTCTTAGTCATAGCTCTTTGCATTTATTGCTATCCTTGGATCTGGCTTGGTTATGGGGTTTCAGTAATGATCTTTCTGAAGTAAGAATTCAAAGAATGAAAAAAAAGCTATGGAGAGGTTTTCTTTGGGAAAGAGAGAGAAGCAAATGATGCGGGATCTTTAGGGTCACCAAGGGAAGACAGCCATCAGCCTCCATGAACCTCACACACAGAAGGCTGCTATATGCGCCAGCATTAAGCGTCCCCCTGGAGGTAATGCTGGCTCCCTTCCTCTGCCTCCCAGGAAAGGAAGTGACACATTTGGAATGCCAGTGCTGTGTCATGCCCCCGCCCAGCTCTGGAAGAACAGAGGGCATATCTCCTCTTTAGATCTGCCTCTGGGAAGTGGAGACATGGCAGTCGGCAGTCTATCACCTGGGGCATTTCCACTTTAGTCTCAGGCTCATGGCATTTCTACTTTCCTCCTGCCCTCTGGAGGATTGGGGGGCAGGGTCAAAGGAGCACTGAGGAGCCAAGGAAACATTCCCAAGTAAAAAAATCGTGTCCCTGGCCCCCAGGGAGTGAGAACAGAGACCCCAAGTGCCAGGTGTATACTAGGCTGCAGCAGAGATCCACAGTGTAGGTGAACCCAAAGTGGAGGACACATTTGCTGACACTTAGTGACAAATAAGAAACCCTTCACAGAAGCTCCACTTTGATCCACACCCGGTGATGAGTTAAAGATGATGAAGGAAAGATAAACTGGCTGGCTTGGGCTTTGCTTTTTCCCCAGGAAGAGGAATACTTCTACCAGCCAAAGTTCTCTGTTCCCTGGTCCCTGCCTACTGCCTACCACCACCTTCCACAGCCCAGACCCAACTGGTCCATCCTCGAAAAGCCTGGAAATGATGACCCAACAGTCACTGTGCCACTAGACAGCTTGCAAGGCCGGGTCTCCTGAGCAGCCCAACATCTCCCAGACAGCTTCAAACATATTATCGCATCTGAGCCCAGACGGGGAGGAACGGCTAACCAGATGGTGGCACCATGCCAATGAGACCCTGTCCTGGTTTACCATGTTGCAGACATAGGTAGAGCTGGCTGCATTTACAACCTAAATATTGTGTGCAGTGCCAAGTTCTGCCTAGAGGAGGGAAGTCAAGAGGTCAGTGGGCATGTCTATAATTGCGGCCCAGCCCAGGATTCTCCAGGTTTGGAGAGGAGCCCAGTCTTCATGCAGCCTTTATCTTCACAGCCCCCTGGCCTTAGCGGCTGCACCCTCCATGGCCTCTGTCTGGTTCATACACCAGCACCCACCCTGACTTGTTTGTCATTGGTGCATTTGGAAAAACATGACTTTCCAAAGAGTCTGGCTGGCATGGCCTAGCAGCTGTGTGTTGGGCAGCATCTGGCTGGCAGAGTCTGTGGGCCTCATTTCTCTATCCAGGCCTGTAAAAGGTGGTATGCTTTGTTCTGCTGGGCTCTAGTCACAGCTACCACCTTCAAGCCAAGGTATATACCTTTAATTTATTCTGGAAGAACTTTCCACAGGCAACCTGGACCCTGGAACCAGAAGTGTGAGCTTACTGGAACACAGGATCCTGGTGGGAAGTGGGCCTGCAGTCTCTTTGTGTCCCATGGAAGATACCACAGGGCGATGTGGAGAAGGGGTCACCCATCTGGGGCAAACCATTTCATCCTTTCTTTCCTGAAACATGAGGCTAGGGAGGACAAAGCTCCAAGACTCTGGCAAGTTTCTTGCCTTGGGCTTTCCAAACATTTTGTCTCTGCAGCAAAAGAAATACACTGTGGCTTAATTTAATGAGCCCTGCTGGGGTTGCTGTGAGCTGCCTGCTTCTGAGGATTGGGTTTGCAGACTTTGAGAGGCCAGGACTGCACCCTGCCTGTGCCACCTCCTACAGAACCTGCCAGAGTCCTTACAGCACCAGCCCGAACACCCAGACCTCAGCTGGTATCACTCCTTATAAACATCACACACTGAATCCAAGTGTGGAATTCAATTAGACTCAAAATAGTCACACAGCACCTGGGTCTCTGCCGATGGCCACTGGGACAGTAAGTGCTGATTTTCTGAGGCCAAGTCCTCTTTGTCTGAAGCTCTCTCATCTGAACCCCACGCTGCTGCTTTCTCTTTGTGGCTTCTCTTTGCTGTTTGATGAATAGCAGTAGTGAGCTGCCCTGTCCCAGCCTCACAGGTGTCCATGAAAGTCCTCTGAAAATCCACAACACTGAACTTTTTATTGTTACCATTTTTTTGTTTTGAGACAGGCTTCTCTGTGTAGCCCTGGCTGTCTTGGAACACGCTTTGTAGATCAGGCTGACTTCAAACTCACAGAGATCTTCCTGCCTCTGCCTCCTGAGTGCTGGGATTAAAGGTATGCACCACATGTCTGGCCCAGCACTGAACTTCTTGTCCCTCTTTGCCACTATCACTCAGGCTGGGTTTCATTTTTCCCCTTCTCTTGGTGTCTTCAGTGATAGCTGGCTCTAATTCTGTCCTTCATTCTCAACCACACAACACTCAGGTATTAATTCTAGTCAGTCATGAAAATATGCTCATTACCCTGCAGAGGCCACAGTACCAGGCTCAGCCATAGCTAGATCATAGGGCTCAAGTCTATAATTGTGTAAGTTTGAGTTTTTAGCAAACTTCTGAAATATGATCCAAGTGTCAGGCAGTGTATTGGGTGTTCAGAAGACAGGGCAGTTGCCATGGCTTCCATTTGGGTGGCATGATTGTTTAGTACAGGAGGGAGAATGAGTCCTTTTTCACCTACCAGTTGGTCTGTTTACTCAGGGCACAGATGGGTTTTCATATGAAGGGGCTATGTAAGGATACTGCAAACCCAAAGTTGAAAGCTATTGCATGCCCCACATGTAGCGTGAGATAGACCAGTGTGTTAGGTTGCTCACTCATGCTGTGTAAGCACAATGTGCAGTGGGAGTGTCCTGGTGGTTCACCAACTGTGAGCATTGTCAATCAAGTTTCCTGGACTTGTGCTCCAGAATGTCTGCTATTGCCACTGAGTTAGACCAACTCACTGCCTTTGAATTTGGGATGGGCTTAATACCATTCTTGATTGATAGAATAGAGCAAAACCCATTGTTCTGGAACTACAAAGGCTAGTAAGAACCCTTGCAGCTTCTATACTGTCTCTTGGAACCAGGACATGTGACATAGAGATGCTCCTGTTGGTAGTCCCCGGCTGAGACAAGCCTTCTGACCATCCCATTAGACAACAATAAGTTATCTTGAGCCCTCAAGACTAGCCCATCTTTCTGTGAATAGCACCATGTGGCTTCTGCTGATAACATGGAGAACAGAAGGGCCCTACCCAAACTTATGACCTATAAAATATACACAGACCAAGCAGTGAGGTTAGTGTTCTTGTGGGCTAGCGCATCCCTGTTATGTGTTAATGGGGGCAAGGAACATATAAAGTCTTTGTTTTGTGTATAATGAAACCTTTATTTTTCTCCAAGAGCAGAAAACTGTACGTACAATACAAACACGGCAATTTGTAACATTCAACAGTCTGAGCAGAGGTGCTTCAGGCTGCATGTGTTGTATGTCCATGTGTGTTTAAAGCCAAGGTTGCAGTGAAGTCATGACACAACATGGGTGAACAGCACCAGAAACACCTCACACTTGCTTGATTTTAAGTCCATGTTGGGCCATTTTATATTCAGAAATCTTTTCCCATTCACAAGTGTTTAAACCAATCCCCCCCCCCCCCCCCCCCCCCCCCCCCCCCCCTTCACCACAACAAAGTTTTTTGTTTTTTGTTTTTTGTTTTTTTTTAAGTTATGGGTCGTTCCAGTTCAGTGGTCCTGATCAGAAACATCTGAGGCCAGGGGTCTGCTCACCAGATCCGAACTCGGCGGCAGGATCCAACACACCCAGACACTGCCAAGGCCCTGGTAACAGTGCCATCTCCATCCACGACAAGAGGATATCAGAGTATTGGAACTGTTTGCATCTACCAGAAGGGAACCTTGGTCCCATACCCTCCAGGAGAGGAAGAGACTCCTGCTACACCCACCAGAAGAAAGGATGAGAAGAGGACAATGTAAAAGCACATCCAACAACAGAAAACTCAATATGACACCACCGGAGACTAGGAACCATACACCAGCAAGACCTGAACATCACAATGCAGATGAAGCAGAAGAAAATGGCCTTAAAAACATCTTCATGAAAATGATAGAGGACCTCAAAGAGAACATGAGAAAATCCTTTAAAGTAATGGAAGAAAAAACAAACCAAAAATATAAGATATCAACAAATCTCTCAAGGAAACAGTTCAAGACATAAAAACTGAAATAGAGACAAGAAAGTAAGCACAATCTGAGGGAATGCTGGAAATAAAAAAGCTGGGTAAACGATCAGGAACTACAGATGCAAGCATAACCAACAGAATATAAGAGATGGAAGAGAGAATCTTAGGAGTTGAAGATACACTAGGAGAAATAGACTCATCAACCAAAGAAAATCTTAAGTCCAACAAATCCCTAACACAAAATATCCAGGAAATATGGAATACCGTGAAAAGACCAAACCTAAGAATAATAGGTATATGAGAAAGTGTTCAACATCCTTAGCCATCAGGGAAATGCAAATCAAAACAACTCTGAGATACCATCTTACTCCTGTCAGAATGGCTAAAATCAAAAACACCAATGACAGTTTATGCTGGAGAGGATGTGGAGAAAGACGAACTCTCCTCCATTGCTGGTGGGAGTAATTACTTTTGTGTTGGTGGATTACTTCTGGGCATGAAGCCTGCTCTAATATGTGGCTGATACACCCAGTGATTATTAATTTTTATTCTACTTCATGTGTCTGAGCCTTTTGTCCTCATGTGGGTACATGCATCATGTGTTGTTAGGATAATTCTTTCCCGCCAGCCTGGCCCCACAACTACTTCAGCCACAAATGAACACTCAGAGACTTATATTAATTATGAAACTATTAGCCAATAGCTAGGGTTTATTATTGGCTACCTCTTCTTAATTACTAACCCATTTCTATTAATCTAAGTATTTCATCGTGGTCTTATGTTACTGGAGAAAGGTCCGGAGGCCTGTAACTCCTCTGGCATCCTCCATGGTGATTGTGCTCTTCCTACACCTCTCAGAATTCTTCTTATCTCCTAGATCTACCTATCTTGTTGCCCTATTGGGTACAGTATTTTATTCATCAACCAGTAAGATGAACATATTTACAGGCCATTGATGCATAACATAATGCCATTATTGCTCTTTAAATATAAATATATATATGTTAATTAAAACTAAAATATGTGATGAATCCAAGGTGTTTCAGTGAGTGCTCAACTGTGCATG